AGAGATGATAAGTACGGATAACGAAATTCTTTATTGCCGAGCGTGTGGGAAAACAGTTGGTTGTGAAAAATGCTTTCAAGTGCTTCAGCATTTGAACACTAATATACACAAAGAGAATATTAAAATTGAATCCACGAAAAGTGCTCCTGTTAAAAAATTGCTTAGTGAATTTTCTAATAATAGTTTTTCAGTTTTCCTTTGATTTATGCGAAGCCTTTTTAGCGGCAGATATTCCGCTGTGGAAATTAACCAGTCCTACTCTGAGAAACTTCAGAGAGAGGTATACACAGTGCAAAGTGCCGGATGAATCTACTGAGCTCAAAAATTACGTGAAGCAGTGTTACGATCTTACAACTGAAAGCATTAGAGATAAGATTCAAATAATTTTGTGTGGGTATCAATCGACAAAAGACAAGATTGTGAGGGACGGTTTATTGCAAATTGTATAGTTGGATCCTTTAATAAGAATGAACAATCTACCACATATCTTCTTGCGGTAGAGCAATTTCAAACCACAAATAGTTCCGCAGTTTCCGAATTCTTTATCAAATCCACGAATTTACTGTGGTCGAATGGCATTCAGTATGCGGGCGTATTGCTCTTTGTGACTGATGCCACAAGTTATATGATGAAAGCCGGTACTGTTCTTAAAGATATATTTACAAATGTGACACATTTGACTTGCCTTGCCCATGGGTTGCACCGTGTTGCGGAAACAATTTGCGCAAATTTTCTGCTTGTTGACAAGTTGGTGTCTTCTGTGAAGAAGGTATTTGTTAAAGCACCATACAGAAAAGAAGCCTTTAAAACAGTAGCACCAAGCATTCCACTTCCGTCAGAACCAATTTTAACGTGCTGGGGCACATGGCTGTGTGCAGCAAGTTATTATACCGAACATTTAGAAACAGTTAGGAATGTTGTGAATACATTTGATCCCAAAAGTGTAGCATCAATACAAATTGCCCAAGATGTACTAAAATAATGCAGAACTAGAAACTAATCTTTCCTATATATCTGCTCACTTCTCTCATCTTCCATCCGCCATTTCCTCACCGGAGGCAAGCAACAGCAATACTTCTTTGTATCAGTCATTAAGTGTGTTCAAAACCACTGTTTCAAAATTGAATTCAGTTCCTGGAAGAGTTGGTGAAGTAATAAAGGAAAAAGTACACACAATTCCTTCAAAAAAATTTTAGCTGGTAAATGTATTGAACTGCCAAGTAAAAAATCACTAACAGTGGAGCAAATAGTGGCTTTTGTACATGCACCCCTAAGTTCCTGTGCGGTGGGAAGTTTTTCCCACTATAAGGACATCTTACGAAACAATAGGAGGCGACTAACTATGGAAAACCTAAAACATTTAGTAACTGTGAACTGCAACAGAAGAGAAGATGAAAGTTCGGAGAGCTAAATGTGAGTACCATTGGTTTTTTAAAGTTGTAATGAAATATGGTGGCTTTGTTGCATGATCTGTATTTAAGTATAGCTTTTTATTGCAAGTGAATCATTCGGTGATTAACTAAAATGAACTTAAATATTGATTTGTTGGTCCTGAAATAATGTAAAATCAATTTTAATATTTGGTATAAATTTTTATGTGCATATTTTAGCGCATATTTCGGACACTTTTCATGCATAAATGCATACATATTTAAGGGATTATTAGGGCATAAAAATCCAGTCCCTAGTTATCAGAAGTCTTTTGAACATCACTTTGCAGTTTTGTCTACACATATTCACCAATAAAATTGTATGACATGGTAGAAAAGTACCAAAAATAACTTGAATATATTAAGTTATGTACTAGGTAAAAAAGAAAAAAAGGCAAAGTTACAANACATGCAATGAAGGTGCATGACAAAGATCTTTTTTTTTTAATGCTAGTGGAGTGGGACTAAGTCCCTTGTACTGTGGCCACTTCTGGCCTATTGTACCAGCCCCAGATGATAGGTGAGGGTGATTGTGGAGCAATTGGTCGAATGAAGATTGGCAGGGGAAACGGAAGTACTCAGAGAAAACCTGCCCCAGCGCCACTTTGTCCACCACAAATTCCACTTGAACTGACCCGGGATCGAACCTGGGCCACCGTGGTGGGAAGCCAGCGACCAACCGCTTGAGCTATGGCGCAGCCCTGACAAACATCTTAGTAACCCCAATGGCGGTACTAAACAGAGAGGTGACGTCAGCTTCAAGCTGTACAAATCCACTCACAATTTATCAAAGATAAAATGATTCCTGCACTTGTAGTACACTATGAAGGCACATGAAGACCATGGAAATACAGTGTCACACTTAATTACCAACAGCACCAGAAGTGTCACATTTAATTACCAACAGCACCAGAAAGAAGTGAGTCATCACCTTCAAGGTTCAAACATTTAGCTATCACCAACCCTCATAACCACACCATGGAAGCACATTAAAGGCAAGGAGGTAAAGCTCCACACATTCTGAGCATCTGTATTAGAATGCTCTAACCACCTTTATCCAATGGTATCTAACAAATATGAGGCTGGGTTTCATTGTGAGCACTATCAAATAATACTTACATGGAATTTTCTCAATAAACCACTTGCAAAATATGGATGTAACCCATTCTCTGAAACTGTTTCACACAGATTAAAAAAAAAATGTTGAAGAGGGAAGGTTAAATCAATATTCTTTACTTTTCTTCAACACTTTAAGGTCAAACAACTTTCATGCCAAGCAGTTCTGTCAGATATTATTCCCAAAGGGCACAGACTTAGAAACAGTATAAATTTGTAGTGTAAAGAAAACGGAACTTGAAGTTTATGGGAATTTATGAAACGAAAAATTAGGGATTCAGTACAAATGAAATCATTAATTTGCCATTTTTACTGTTCCACAGAACTACTGCCACTTGTCACCTTGCTGATGTATGTATTTGTAGGTTCCTCCTCCTCGCCCCAGTCTGGCAAATCTGTCTTCCACATCTTGATGGTCTTATCATCACCAACAGTAACAAACTGCTGCCCATCTGGGAGAAATGCGATTCCCCTCACAAAACCATCGTGTGCCCGAAAATTACGTACACATTTCTGTTGTGGTAGATCCCATAAACGAACCTGTTTTGATACAAAACAAAATTATGTTTCTTTCACTTAGGACATTTCTCCATACTAACACCACTATTTACAGAAATTGTAAACAATACCTCGCCATCATACGAGCCGCTCACTAACAAAGACAGACGCTGTGGGTGTTTTCCAAAACACGATACACCATCCTGATGTCCATCTAAATTCCCAACAAAGGGTTTAGCAAATACACGTTCTAATTTCACAGCATTCAATGCCCTTGTGTATTCTCTTAACCCTTCAAATGGATGCAATGATGGCTCATAATTACGTGGAACTGTAAAAAGAAACTGTCATTTTCCATCAATGAATCACTGAAAAGAAGCCACGGTATGTTTGGTGTAAAAAGAGGTGTAAAAAGTCCACTAAGTAGCTAACTATGATTAATATACAACGATATAAATTCCTGAACGTTATCGTCATTAACGGATTTCAGTATAAAAATATAAGGGTCAAATAGCTGTCATACAGTACAATTCCTGTCGCTACCAAACACTTAGGAGCCATAAATCATCATACATTCTTTGCAACATAACCTACAATCACACAAACCTTTATATATATCCCTTTTAGTTTCACGTAGATAATAGTCGGGATTCCTACATAATACTTTCACTTTCATTTCTTGTCTTATCCAGTCAAGGATAATAATTCAGAATTCAATATTTCTTAAGAATAAAAAAATTCATAACAAAACTGTAGAATCTTCTTTCACTGATTTTCATGTCACCACGTATTTCACGTGGTTCTCCATTGTCGCCAACGTCGCCAACACAATATTATAACAATGATGGACAAAGTGTCTTTTAGACAATAAAACGAAAATAGAAGTCCTGTGAACACAATGTTATATCTTTACATTACATTTAAATTACACCACCTTTCCAGAAGGCCAGTTTTGGTCACTGGTGCTATCCGTGAATGATACTGTGCCATTCTCTATTCAAAAGTAGTTCAACGGCAATCTTATAACTGATGAGAACACCGCTTTCATACAAGAAAGGTGATGTATCAGTTACGTGGAGAAAAATAAACTTGAAGGAAGTTATGCAAAATCTTTGTTCCTGTGTGTCTAAATAATTGTTCCAATTTATATTCCGATAAAGCTCTCGCGAGTTAAGGGTGGCACTATTGCTTCAAGTGGCATTGAATACGGGCCTCGAGCATACTTACCTGGCGTAGGGGTTACCGTGATCCTGAAGGCGGTTCCCCCAGGTTGAGACCCTTCCATTGCACTACGGTCGGGTTGACCCCTGCGATTGCCCCAAATGTGGGTAACTCGGGCGCGTAATTTTTGGTAGTCGGGACTGCGTTCGCGCTGTCCCGGTCCTTAGACTTCTCATCTAATTGCGCCGTGGCACGTTCACTTACGTCACGTCAGTTCCACGTAATCTGCTTCAGAAACAATGATTCCACGAAATTTACCGTCACAATCATCACAATGCCGCCCTTCGCAGGTTTACACAGTACAAACATCACTAGTAGCGGCTATGAGCGAATGACGACATCGCCACATTACGCGGCCGCAGACTTTTTAAACAGCCGGTTCCAACGAAGCTTCAAGTTATACCCTCACTAGACACCGCCCTCTTCTTGTACTAGGCCGGAGACTCACAAAACAGGATTTCATGTCACTCGAACCAATCAACAGTAATCTTAAATACTGTTGAGCGTTTACCCATGCCAGTCAGTGCAAATGCATATTCTTGCCCCAACTCTGCTGTAGGAAGTGTTATTATGGCTCTACAGCCCTTCGTTGGGCCTTGGCCGCTTTCGCAGTTTATTAATCATACAATCAGTCGGTAGGACTCCTTCAACGGGGGATCAGCCTTCGCAAGGCCTTTACCTACACACGGAACAACACAAATCACGGAATAACCGCACACAGACTGACATCCATGCCTCGAGTGCGATTCGAACCCACGACCCCAGAGTTTCTGCGGGCGGAGAAGGTGCATGCCTTAGAGCGCGCGCTCACTCTGATCGGCGTTATAAGAAACACACGAATAGTAATATTTATGTAAGTGTTACACTATGTTACACTATAATAATACAAGGTATAAAATACAATAAAATTATCCTAACTCGAACGTTATACAATAAAATATTGTTAAAAATTATTTGGTGTAATATTTCATATTATGAAGTAAGTGTCGCAACCTTGTTGTTACATTTCAGCGGATATGTAGCGGACACCAATACGACGTGCCTCCAAGCAGTTAATTATACGTGTACAGGTCATGAATACACGTATACCGCTGTGTGTCTCCTGGAATGTAACAACAAGGTTGCAACACTGATTTCATAATATGAAGAATTACATGGATAACTTTTAACCATATTTTATTGTATAACTTTCGTTATATCATAATTTAATTGTGTTTTTATACCTTGCAATATTATAGTGTAACACAATTGTCGAGAATGCAGCTCGAATATCACATGAAATGCAGTTCAATAGTGTGTGTGTGTGAAGTAACCGTGTATTTGCCTGATGATGGCTTTAAAAGCCGAAACATGTAACTACTGTGATGTTAACGTAGACCGTTTCGTTGTTTGTTACGACGGATCCCAACAAAGAATTCGATGTCTTGAAATTTATTGTTAATGAATTGGTATGTAGGCCATAGTTTGCAAATTTTGCCACACTGTTGTCTTTTGTGATGAGAAAAAACAGCGCAAAACACACCTTGTTGCCGTCCCTCCTCTTCTGCTTTTGTGCCCGCTGCTCCGGCCGCTCCTTTCCTCCTCGTCGTTGCTACGGCTGCTCCTGCTCGCCGCTCCTTCCACCTTTACCCTTCCTGGCAATTTGGGTTCTGAGGTAACCAGGTTGGATTTAGGATAATGGTAGGCATGGATCTCTATCTCAGGTCGATAACAGGTCTTTCTTCGGAGAAACTTTAACACGACTAACCCGTGGCTTTACCTTAGGTTTAATATACTCATTTTTGGTCACAATCACTATTTATGGCAGTTACATTTACACTGTTTCGCTTACAGAGGCGATTCTATAAAGAACAAAGCAAGTGCCCCCACTCACTACGAGGGTCTCTCATTATCTGTTGCCTACTACTGGCTCGGCGACGCTAACGGA